TATAAATAATATAGGCAAAGTAATGATTTTTCCGTGAAAGGATCAATAGCTCCTGAAAAATGCGCAACTGAGCAAAGGTTACTACGGTAGTTTATACTAGTGAATTGTCGAAAAGGTACTGAATGTTTTCCTAGTTTCAAGCAATATGAATCGCGTCGGTACCACTCGCTAGAGTGATTTTGGCAATAGTAGATGTGCTTAATCTATTGGAGTGCCTTTATTTAGCTATAGGGCAAGCAATACGTTATAAGCACACATACTACTACATCTGCCTATGAAAGAAAAAAAATGTGTGTTACATGGTTAAAGTGCGTAAACGGTACAGATGATTTTGTTATTTTCGTTCTTGAGACCTATTCTGAGAGATGTTTCTCGTAGTGTCGGCTGGTTGCAGAGAAAGTGGGCGAAATTGCCAAATACGCATCACAAAACATTATTAAGCCAACTGAAGGGAGCTAGCTCTAAAAAATACTTCTCGATAATTTATCCAATTGTACTTCCATCTTTGAATCTTCACAGAAACGCAACAAACTCGAGCCATTTCTAAAGCGGTGAAGACAAGTGGGTCACACGTGACACTAATATGCAAGTGAAATTTACTGTGGCAAGCTTAGACTGAAGAAGGTGACTGAAGAAGGTGATCGGAATTATATCATCCATTATCCGCTTGGCACAACAATTGATTTGGATTTTTACTGTCAAAAAACTACCAGGATTACAACAAACCATTGAAAAAATTAACGAGAATCAATGGAGAAAGAAGGCGTTGTTTTCGACCACGACAATGCCGCGCCAAATGCATCTTTCTCTATTCTAAATTGAGAGAACTCGTATAATAAAGTAATTCTTACACCGCAAATTATATAATCTGCTTCGATCTCCGTGGAGCTCTTTTAATATGATTAATTTTAGTTCAATGGAGGGATGCAAAAATTAACATTGTGACAATTCTTCTCTCAGAAACTGCAGAGATTCTATAATGAGGAGTTATGATGTTACCAAAAGGTGGCAGGAAGTTATCGACCGAAATTGCATATATTTAGTTTGCTAATACTATTTCACAGAAACAAAAGTTTTGCCTTAAAAGGCTCAATACTTTTTCGACAACTCCGTGTTATATATATATATATAGGATTCAACTTCCCTCAGAACAGATCGGTCTGATTTTGTCTTAAAGATGGCGTTCAAAGCGTTTAGTCAACTTACATGACCTGTCAAGTTATAATCGCCAACATAATATAATCGGTTATTACTACAGTAGTTATTTCTGAAGTATTTGTCATATATATCCACCCGTTCCTCAGTTCCTCAACGTATTTAATAGGTCTTCCAGGCTTTGCACCTTGGCAGCTTCGACTTACATCTTATTACCCCCATTGACTGTTCGTTAACATTAATTTCAGTATTATTACGTTGTCCATGCTCGCGGCCGCATAGAAAAAAAAAGTTGTCACAACGTTGTTGAATATCGTGATGTAATATATTATCGGTATTTAAACGGTACTGTCTTTGGCGTAAGTAGTAATTTACATGAAATGTGCTCATTGAAGACAATTAAGGCCAAACATGTCGTAGTGGTAATAGACTTATGCTAAATGGCGCCGGCCTGGTTTTGATGTTCTCTCATCCCAAGGTTCCGTTACCCATCTAAGTCACGGTCGTGAACGGAACAAGTGCTTTTCACGCACGACACGTTCGCAATATGTAGACAGATATCGTAATACTAACATGAACACATGTCAGTTGTGAGACTGGCGATGGGCAACGGCTACATGCAAGTTCGGTTCATAGACATCGCCAGTAATTAAATTATATGAGAGCCATTGGGCACTGCAAAAACAGCGTGGTTCAAAGAACTATTTTTTTCACACCTCGATACGGATAATGTCAGGCTATTTACGAAGTTCGAGACAAATACGCAAGTTACATGAAAATTCTGTAGCCACATTTCCCTGTATTTCACACAAAGAACATCTGAGACACAGGTTTTTTTTGCACAGGTCTCGTCTAGTACGATGGGTTTGTTTCGACTATCATCTTCCTAATGGTTGCACGCATGCTAGGTATGCACAAGTGCGTATGCCTGAGGTTTTGGTTGGGGCAAAATATCGCCGACTCAAGCAGGAGCCGTCTTACCATAGGGGGTTGCCAGGTCTTCCGAGTTTGTCTTCTCGAAGCTGTCCTCGCTGGCTGCTAAGAGTAAAGTTATGTTAGTCATATTACATATATACGATGTAGCATGCAACACAGTATGAAATTAAACAGAAAAAACGAAGAGAAAAGCCAATCAAGTTGTCTATTGTTAGTTTGAACGTCTTATTGTACCTTTCAGTTAATGAGCAGTAAGTGGACTTTAAAAAACTACATCCAAGATTTGTGCGATATTCGATAGGCCATCGTCATAAGCATCACTAGCGAAGTTCGAGTTAAGTTCATGCAGGCACGAGAAACTAAACAGTAACAATGTTAAATACAATCCAATGAAATGATATAAACGATACGTGAATAATACAAAATCATCTGATGCTCCGCCGCACCTGCTCCGCCTTCTTCGCCTCCTCCTGTTGCAGATCCTCCGAACCCTCAAGTTGGCCTCGTACATAAATGCGGGCAGATCTTAGCAGAAAAAGTGTGCTTTGCTGCAAAGTTGCTGCATTTGATGATTTTAAGTAACTGATTCATTGTTGAATAACACGATGTATGAATAATGATGAAAACAATATAGATATAATACACCCAACATAACTTCAAACAGACGGGTTCGGGGAACGGCTATGTGTGTCTATGAAGGCAATGTAACCTCACACGCAGACAAAAACCTGATAACATGCAATAACAGAGGCATACAAGTTCGTCAGTTAAAGGTATAGCTTGGATCGCACAAAAATCGTGCACTTCCAATCGACAACTGTAGCTTATGTCCATCACAGCTGGTAGTACACAATAATGTACAGATATTCCAGTGTCGTTGATGGGACGCTATAGTCAAGTATTCAACATGTGGAATAAAGTGCATCTACTTGATAAGCGTTTAGGAATTTCATGCCCACACATTCTGAAAATTTGCGCTAGAAAAGAATATATCTTGTATGTTTTGTTTTCATTGTGTCGATATATGTATATATATTTGTATGTATGTGTGTATATATATATGCACCAGGCTGTTTCTTTTCCGGTAGCTGCGAATAGCACATTTACTTTCAGTGACATCGCTCTCAATGACACTGGATCAGTTCGATGCAGAAGGCGCCGGCGGTTCACAGAAGAGTCCATCACTCATGGTCATTGTAATTCTGCTGATTTCTGCGTTTGCTGCTCGAACTTGGGTCATCCTAGCAGTTACCTCTATGCACAGTACATATATGGTATCTTTGGGTCACGATGCGTTTTATGCACTCCGCCGTCTCAATACTTTCTGGCTACTGACCCTGGCTTCCTACGGCATTCAGAAATAAATACGGTTATCGTTTTAATAGCAACCTGATGCTTGCTTGAAGCAATGTGTGCGCACTATGCAAGTGCATAGATTGGTAACCTAGCTCGCCCGGACGACACCTGACGCGAGGCTTATAGTTTCACAGAAAAGCAATACACTGCCATCATTTTCCACAAAGGACGGTAGACTCGCAAGTGCGAACGTTTCACCCAAACGGACCAGAAGGCCCCATCCACAGTCATAGACACATAGGCCATGTTGGACTCGTAATATTTTGATCAAACACTAAACTATTTGACTCTCTCTCTCTCTCTCTGTATATATATATTAGTCTACTTGTGTTTCGATTGACGATTTGGTCGTATGTGTGTTTGTTTCGACGGATACTTTCTTATCGACATGTGTATACAGAAACTCCTGATTCTTCGTACCCTTATCCATCTAGATTTCCCTTTCATACAGCATCTTTACATCCTCTTTACTTTTTTGAATTAAGTAAATGTCACATCGAAGTACTTCGACGCTTTTAAAACAGTAAAAAAATAGCGCAGGTAAAAAGATCTAAGGAGGCATACAAATTAAATTTACACCTTAGTGTATCAATAGATTTCGATTGATTCAGAAGAATCATGCTCGAGATCTAAGCTACATACTGCCGTACGGCTGTCGGTCGATCAAGATGTATTTTTTCACGCCAAAAGTCGACGAATCCGGCGTTATCCGCAATAAGGTAATATTGTATGTATACTAGATACCTGACAGTTAATAACAATTAGACGAAGAAAAATTGACGTCCAAAGAAAAACAGTCTTTTTGGCAAAGGGTGTTCAGGTGTTGACAATTGAAATATTCTGAGTGGAGCGGTCATGTTTTAAATGTCAATCTACTCAAATCGACGTTTGGCTTTATGCCAGTCTTGTAAAATATAAAAAAATTATGGTATGTAGCCTTGTGGGAAACAAAATAATACGCTGTGAAATTAATTTTCTGTTTTTTGGTAAACGTGTCAAATCAACATAATGCAGGACTAATTTTTTTTTTTTTTTTTTATATACAGGGACAGCGTCGATAGACAAAAACGTCGTAGAGTATTTTTTAAGCTGCAAAAAATAAGTAGGCAGTATTATTATATTATGTGTTATCTTTTTTTACTTAATATATATTGCTGGTTAGTGATGGCCAAAGCAATGAAATAGTGCGTCGTAGGAGTTCCTCGCTCTACACGCACGACCTTCACCAGCCAGACTCTTCATAACAACTAATATTGGCAGTTCGTATAAATTTCACAACTTGTTATTTGTAGAGCTAACTTGTTTACGAAGGTGACCCACTTAGAGATCGATTTGTGGCTAAGGTCCCATATGAACCCTATTTACGATGAAGATCTCTACTCGAGTGGGATGAAATATATATGCTGGTCGCGAAAAGTCCATCTTCTTTATTGGCATCTTTTCTTTTTCTTTGATGTTGCCACACGCGAAATACCTATTTTGGGGCTTACTAATTACAAAAATACAATTTCTTACAAACGAGATGGCCGGCTTTGTATGTGCAAACAAATCTCCGACAAATACATGCAACAAATATACCCCAAACACACATCTGCTTTGTATCTCTTTCCAAACAATGATAGTACATCAAAACGACGAGAATACGCTTAAATTTGTGACGCTGTCCCGGATTCGAGAACGAAATCGATTGACGCCGTGTTTGTGTAGTTTGTTCCGCCCGGATATTTGGGTCATTTCATTGATTCAAAGGAATGTTGGGTAACAAAATGTAAAATCTCGTTCTTCTGGTGGTACGACTTCGTCGTCGGCTTGTGTTTCGTTATTGCTAAGTATCGTTCCCGCCCAGATGTATATGTTTGTGTGTGCACAGAAAATACATGGCTGTTGATAACAAAATAAAATCGTTGTGTCAATTTGTGCCTAGACACTAGGTACGGCAGCACGGATATAATCGGAGAAAATCCGCGGATGTAGGCAATAACAACCTAACCGTATATTATAGCTGCAGTCGAAAATGTATATTTAGGCCAACATAGCGCTAAAAGGCGAACTAGATAACGTGGTGTGCACTGTGTCAAACGAATTCAGGACGTAGTAATGTATAATTATGAAATAAGCAATAAAATTCTTGATATATGATGGAACAACTAACAGTAATATTAAGATGTACCTTACAGATGGTCATCACTTCGTTGACCCGACCTTTGTCACAGACTACTTACATGATATAATTACGCAATTAATTCAATGGGAAGGTTAGGTGTTTGTTCACGTACCCTAATGCCTAATTTCTATTGCAGGTATGGTGCATGTTATGCTGGTGAGCATACCTAAAGCCAAAGATACACAGTTGGATCCAGCATACGTAATCACAACGAGATAAAGGCCTCATTGGCTGTCTTTTCCAGGTTCACATTCACTCTCTGTTCGTTCTGCTGTGGACTGGGTATTATAGAACTTTTACACTGAGAATTTCAAAACGTTGATAATTCTTATTTGTCTTATGCCAGATCCAACTGATACATTTGCTTTTTTATCAAGCAACAAGTCGTCTAGCTGTTCCGGTATCTGGGACCCAGGCATGTGAAAGGTGGGGAAAAATAACCCGAATTTGATTTGTTACGACCGCTGCAATGGCTTCTGTGTTAGCAAGACTTCAAACCCACGCCGTCACGATAAAAGACATGGTAAGGTTGAATGTATGGAGCCGTTTCGAATAATGGCATGGTGCCTTCACACTGATTCTACGGGGCTGTGAAATTCGCTGAGCGCCTTTATGGGAGTGATGTTCTTCTTCTGCGAACCTTTGCGAACTTTTGCGCGAACCTCCTCGGGCTTTTCGCGTCTCACCAGAGGCTTCTTTTCGGGAGCCTTCATTTTCCAAACCACGATCGGCGACTGCAATTCGAATTGAATGTTGATCAAGCTAAGCAATTATATACAGAATAGAGGGCTAATGATGCTAATCGAAATCTCCCCGCGCGAGCCAAATCTTCTATGCACCAAGGGAGAGCATTGGCATTATTATTATTTGTAAAAAAAACATAACAAAACGAGATGACGACTTACGGTCACGATAGCTCCCTGTCGGGGGTACTTGGTGGATGCGACATATGATGCCTTTACGGTCAGGACGACGGCATTCATGAGGTTCTTCGCGGCCTGAATCAACGACGTCGCGCTGTCCAGCTGTAAAAACACAATCGTTATTATTACTTATGGTATATAGTCCGCCTAGCTACTATTTCGTAAGTCAAGGTATTTCCTAATAATTAAATGACATCTTTTGTTTGAAAGCTATTCGGATATCTTTTCTGCGCCGCCAATATTGGTCAAAATCAATCCTATGATATTTATATTCAAATGTATTAATGTGATTATACCCCGGAGACGATGAGGTTGCCGGAGATATTTTGTACGTCGGCCTTGACTTTTGATGTAATATTGAGCTGATGACAATATAGGGCGATACGCTGCAAGTACGCGATCAGATCCTTTTTCGTGTCGGATTCAGGGCACTGATCAGCAATCGACCGGGCCAGCTTGTCCAAGCGTGTACCGTGCTCACTAATCTTCTTAGCAGCGTTAATGACGTCCATTGTGGTTTTGAGCGGACCTTTACCACGAGTGAAATCTGTCATTTCCATCATGATCATGCACATTTGCTTGGCGATCACGATAATATCATTGCCCTTATCGTCCCATTTAGCCACTTCGCGATCAAAGCGATACTTCTCGGTCCGGAAGGTTTCAACCTGTGCAGCAATTTTGGCTTTCTCCTCTTCCGACACCATTCGATAGGCATCTCGGGCGTTAGAAACACCAGTGACATCGGGATATTCGTCGACATCGTGTACGGACGATTTCGTGCTTCGAGTCTCGTACGTATTATCCTCGTATTCGATTTCCGTCTCAGAGTCAAGTTCTTCTGCACTCTGAAAAAGGAACAAATATAATATATATAGAGTATCAAGGAGTTAAGGCTCAATTAGACAGCTGAGTGTAATTAAGCCATTGACTCGTGTTTTGAGTTTTAATTAATTACGGGCGAATTACCGAGGGTCTAATACTTACTCTGTTCATGAGTACGGTCCTCCTGATTTCTCTGACACCGTCATACACTAACCTGAAAAGAGACGGTACACAATGCTTATAGAAATGTTACAATATTTAGTTATAGCTTAATTAAGTGATGATGTCATTAAACGTTTAGCAACTGAATCGTCAGGTAGAAGTAGTACTTATGAAATGTTTAAAAATTTGAGAATTTGGTACATTCATCACTAACACTAGGAGGCGGGACCGCACACTTTTTATAAAATGCATATCTATATGCACGTATAGACATTATTGTCTGCCTCATATATAATAATAAATAAGTATATAATGTATAATAATAAATAAGTAGGTAATAATAAGTAATAATAAAGTAGGATCGTTAATTAATAATAGGTCGAAATTTGTATAGCTACTGAGATCAACATGTTGAAACCGGTGGAAATCGTGCGCGACACTATGTTCTTACCTAGAGGCATCAATAAAGTCGTTTTCATCGGTTGACGCGCCCTGACTCAAAGCGGTCACGGCGGCGTCCACCTTTTGTGCAAAATTCGGCATAACTTGTTCTCGTAGGGCCTGAAATTAGTAAGTAAAAATATCAAATAAAGCCATTTTTCTCTAAGTATCCTAAATCGTACGTGATCAGGTCATATTTTTCCTTTTGTCCAATGTTTCCTTCTAAATATGTTATTCATTCTTAATTTTCCTCTTCCTTTAACTAATGCTATTTTATGTCGTAAGGAGTTGCACATGCTGCAGAAACTAACAGAAGTTAGGTGATTCATTCATGGACTACCTGTACGGCTTCAAGGACTCTCTCGGTGTAGATGCCAGGTTCATAATTGTCCATTTCGGATGTGACCACTGCTGCGACGCGAGCGGCTCGACCCCTGATAGCGCCTGCCACACGATCAAGGGACACGCCGTCACCTTCTTGCAGTGCCAACACGCACTTGTTTACGTCTTCCAGAATATGATTTTCTGAAATAGAACCATCATTTATAATGCTACACTTGTGCTCTGCGAGTGTTGCATAAATATGGCCAAACATTTGCAACGGTGTTCAAAAAAAAAACAACGCGGCACATTCATATGGAACCGCGGCAAGCATCCTACTATATCGTTTGAGGCCACGAGAGTCGTGTGCCCTCTAGCGTCGGACTCATCATTATCTCTCAATATAAGAAGTTCAGACGGGAGTTGAATAAAAACAACCGGATTACCAACAATCGTATGAACCTGATATTACCTGACACGGCGAGGAAATCATCAATCGTCGTTATATCGTCCACGGCTTCAGTCAGGAGCCGTACCTGATTTTCCCAAGCAGCGCGGAATGCTTCAACGTTCTCCTGTGCGACCTTTGACGAAGGACGAGACGCCAGGATGCGCGCCGCGTTCACCACCTAAAAGTCAAGACATTCTCTAGATAGTAATTAATTTCACTAACTTTCTATCGTACTGTGTACCCTTTGGACTTCGGAATTTTAACACTATATAAATCTTCCAAGTTTAATTGTTTTTCTAATCCATACGATTCTTCATAGAAACGGAATGATCCAACGAGGTGAGGTTAATGATTTCGTAATATTTACCTGCGGGCATAGCTGTTCAATGTGCTGTGCAGCGTGGCGCACCATCTTGATGCCGTCTTCGTTGTTGGACATTGAACAAGCCAACTGGGCAACTTCGACAAGCTTGGCTGCGTGCTCCTTGAGTAACTGCTGACATTCCTCGACCCGAGCCTCGTCCCCAACCCGCGCCGCTTCGACAAGGAGGTGCAGCGGCAAATCTGGCTCGAGGAACTCGTCACATACGTGGTCGACCACAGCTTTCCGTAGCACCCTGCGTAAATCACGCGTTTTATGGACCATTTGCTCACGAGCCTTATCCAGACCTTCAGAAGGAGAGCGGCGACCTAATATAAAGTACGTGAATATGAATAAGGTGAATAAAACGAAGTTTTGCGCGGCTCAGTGCTAAAAAATATTATTTAGGACCAAATTAAGAAATCAAGCGACCGGCCATTCGTTCGAGAGTCACTTATTGGGACGCGAGACTTGGTTTGCAATGGGCCACTACATCTATATCAGGCCGAAACAGTAGCACTTAGCTTCCGTATTTGCTTCTCCTCTCTTCAATAAATAGTACGATTCCTGTGCTACTTACATTAGCGTCTGCCGGCAGTGGACGCAAAGCCATTTCTGTTCTGGATGTTCCAGTCTGATTAAGCAGTTTTGTTGGGCTGCTGCGGGAATAGCAGCAAAATTAAAGTCTTCTGCCAGACCAAGTTAGATCTAATCGCTGCTAATTCTCTCGAATCTACGAATTTTGTTTAATTTTAGAAATATTTTACGACGAAAAAATCTTAGCAGGATTTGACCACGCCATAAAGTAATTAAAGCGCCCGCTTTTCTGCAATTTTCAGGTATAGATCGATCGTTCCTGCCGGATATTTTAGCCGTTTAAGCAATCCTGAAGAACAAAAGAGCACTGCATCGCATTGAACAGGCGCAAATCTAAACTTCCCTAGCAATTATGTAGTACAAAAAAACAAATGTCACCAACCCGAGACGAAAGCAATTTTAAAGATTTCCATTGCAATTAAATTCAGTCAGTATATTCGTGTTCGATATAGCGAAACTTGAAGAATGATAGTCTCATTGTTATGTCTAATTATATGCTGGCCTGCTATCGAGCCGCTGCGGCCTTTTAGATCGTCTAGGAAAGTTGACCATTTCCGTTTCTAGTTTCAAAATTACTGGCTGTTCTTTCTTAATTAGTTCCATTGCTTGCTTCCTACCTTTGAAGTCATCTTTCTTAAGGTGACACCTTGCCAAAGAGCACGTCAACAATCTTCAATAAGTAAATACTTTGCTCGAAGGCCAACAACCAACAAACCTATCTTTGTCTCCTCTGTACCCTTTTGGGCATTTCGTCTCTTTTTTAGCCCACTTCTCTTCCCGCTCCTTGGAATAGCTAATCAGAAAATAAAACCGGCAAGGCCACCTTCCTTCGTCTATCTATGAAGGCAACTCTACGCATGGTCTTTCCATCCTGTTTTCGTATTTTTTTTAACCTTCAGCTTAGTAATCCTCTTCTGTGTCGCCCTGCACCATATGTGAGAACAAAGTATTTCGAGTGGAGCAGAAACTACAGCCAAAGGAAACAACCAGGAAATTGCAACTACAAACCTCTCGACTTGTTGAAAGAAGCCTGTCTCATTCAAGATCCAGAGTTACTGCCACTTGTGTTGTACTATTCTATACGAGAGACCCAGCCGATCTTTCTCAAACTTTTCTCACTGTTATAGAGAGTCATGCTTCCCGTTTTCTTATTTGCTTACTATATTCTTCATTATGTGGAGGAAAACACTTATAGTACGTAGGCTGCTTGGTTACTGAATCTCTAGCTTGGTCACTGAATCAAACTTACTGAACTCGGCCATCCAAAATTGACTTTACGAAGGTGATGTTAAACTTCGAACGGAAGAAACAAGTTCGGTGTCTCTTGCTTGTGCTTAGTGTCTCCTTGCAGCGTGGACCAAATCCACTACCGCATGAGAAAGAAATTAACTTTTGCAATTTTATCTGCAAGTTATATCTTCATATCAATGTTTGGCTTGGAGCTGAAGATAACTGACGTGTCAGTGTTTGATCTTTGCTGACTAGCTTAAAAACTAAGCTAACAGAGATGGCATGTATTTTGCGTAGTGTTCAACTTTGAATGTAAAGCATATGTCACTGTTACGCCGAACCCCTCATTACGTCATCTAAACATACATCTCTTAGGCTATATCCGGCGGACTTTGAAACTGAATAACTAGCTGGGGTATAATAGTGATGTGTTAGGTATGTCGAGCATGTTAGGCATATTGTGTCTTCTGAAAATTCGTTATCAACACACCTGCATTGGCCATGTATTCGGAAAGGAGATCCTGCAATGCTTGTCGAACGGCGTTGCACTCGGCAACGATACGTTCGCGTCTCTCATCACGGGTGCAGGCCGAGTCGGCCATAAGTGCCGCTCCGGAAATGATCGACTCTAGACATTCCTCAAGCGCAGGCCGAGTTCGTTGCTCAGAATATGTGGACGGATCAAGATGAATTCTTTCCTGAAATGGCATCCGCAATGACAAAAATGAGTTGCAGAGCTCAATGCGCAGCTAGTTACTGGATTTAAGAGAGCAAAATAATTGATTTAGGGCCTAGCATTGAGGAACTATGAGAGGAATTCATTGTATGCGTATCGTGTGGTCGAAAGATGTATCTATATGTATTACACAGGATTAGAAATGTACAAGTGCAGTTGAGTACGGTCACGGATAACGCTTTCCTTCAAACGAATGATACCAATTATGGTATACCACATATTAAGCCGAATATGATTTCGGATTGGTAATCGAAATACTGATTTTCGCCATTTCGGTTCTTTGTTTCAGTCACTTCCAGCAGTTTCTAGCAGATCTTACTCCAGTCAACGGATATATATAGACCTTCTTTGTTTGTTGTTCTTACTGTCAGATAAGTTCCCTACCAAGCCATCATTTCAAAGCTGGCTGGTTCGCAAACTGCGTGACGGAATTTTTTTATTTATTATTATGATTTCTATTACGCGCCACATGGACTTTATATGTGCTCAATAAAGTATATAAGTACACACTAAAGCCGACTTGTCTACGCCTTTACAACCTCCCTGCGTGTCACTAGGCCTGGTTCGAATTTTCTTATGGTGAAACTCAATTCCTAACCTATGCCCTTCTCCGAGGAGTACACGTGCACAGCAGTCTTTCCTCGTAGCATTCCGCCCAGTGTTCTGCGCTGATGCCCAAGGCTCGTCTTACTTTCATTCTCGCAGTTCTTTCACTTATTCTCTTTGTCAGCGATTTACGTCCGTACCCATCTACAACTGGGTCCCGGCCAGCATCGAGCGTACGCCCAACAGTTCTATTCGCGCCCTAAATAGGTATAATAGTGCCTATATAGAGCCAGAGACAGAGAGACAACGCTGCAAGATCGACCTCCTATTCCACAGACAAGAACGAATCACCTATGAACGAGCCTGCATTCAGACAAACATACGAATAAATCTGAAAAAAAGCGGGTTCACGAGAAAACACGCATTGCCCGTTAGCAGATTCTCCTGGAGACGTGGTAAAATCAGCCGAAAAACCCAGAAGTGGGCCTACAACATATAGACATCCCTGCAATCAAAAAAACAGCAGAAGTAGGTAGGAATATAGAACCGTTCCTGTTTATTCGCATAAATCAGTATTCACAAATGGCAATATCGGCGAAAGGCTGTTTGTTACAAACTCGAAACTGCAGATATACTGCCAATCAACACGAAAGCAACAATTTCAAATTTTAACACAGGCACACACGAACGTCGAGTTCGCTGAGATCTTCGGCTGAAAAAAAAATCGTATTCCGTAACGTAAACAGACAGAATACGTAAATGCGAAAAGTTTGTGTATAAGCTAACCGTTGTGAAAACTATATTTCAGAAGGCAGATCGAATTAACTATACATATGCACAAATGGCCCCGCAACGGTTGCACAAACCAGAGAGCACTCGCTACAAACGAATATTATGCTACTAGTCTGAAGTAATCATGGGATATGCTGACGACATGCAACCCTAATTAAACTTTGACCCATCTACAGTCTGAAAGCCACGATGATACATGGGAAGCATCAATGTTAAACGTTTGATCAGCGTGTGGACAATTGTTTCCTGGCAACAACAACCATTTACCCCTCGACTCTTGGGCTACAAAACATCGGCCAATAGATACAATGATTAAATACATTTAAGGCTTTTCATGTTCCTGTTTGGCCCTGTACTTCCATAGGTAGTATAAGCGGAGTATGTAATATTTCGCTAATGCTTTAAATTGAATTTAGCATTCAAATGTTTGCCGAACGGTAGACATTATCCCAGGAAACTGTACATGTGTCCGAATACAGATATTGATATTATACATAGAGTTGGGTGAATACTAGTACCGCAATTGGTAACAGCCATTCGAAATATATGTATATTTGATTAACTGCAATCTATCGCCATCAAACCAAACCATCAATAGCAAAAATCTATTGATGGTTTGGTGCTAGATAAAAAAAATAAACAAAGTGGAATGATGACCATTTTCCTGTTGCAAAGGGGAACATCACCAACATATAGTTAGGATATAAAAACATTTCGAAAAGAAATCATTTTTGGTGATGTAAATTTTATATTCATAGACACGATTACCGAACAATGTACCTCTGTCTGATGACAAGGCAAATGTAGTGAAGCACGTTTTTAATAACGCAACGAGAATGTTTACACCTGTATGTTGAAGACATTTTTCATAATATTCTACCGAAAATCCTATTGAAGACCGTCCCGTGTTCGACAAGGCTTGCAACAGGCCAAAAATTAGCCTAACAATCTTTTTGTTACTGGCACAAAGGACGCGGCTTGTAAATTGTCTGGTTTTAAAGATCAACAATAGTCTAGACTGCGACCATCATTTACGTCAGAAGCACCGGTATGTCGGTCGACAGATTCGGTACCGGTAGACAAACCCGTCTAGGGCAGATGGCGGCTGAAAGGACTAAGCGGTGATGTCTAGGAAAAAGCGCGATAAGGCAAGTTATTATCCCGTAAAAAACCAAAAATAACATTCATTTGATTTTAAAGGTTTTCGTCTCGAGAATCAACCTTTCGAGATTACTATGTACAAATATAAAGTAATACGGGTATTCATACGAGGCCGTTTTCATGACTGTCCAGTATACCGTAAAAAAGCGTTTATTACTTGTATCTATTGTAGGAATATTACATGTAAAAAGTAAATGTAATATATTTTCCTACATTAGAAACATGGTTATTAAGGTCTACTAGGGACCTACGCGTTTCGAATTAACACATGCTATCTTTCAACGCAAACTTCGTACCGGAGAACCATTTATACAGCGCACTGCTTATTATAATAACATTACTCGGCTTGTACGGCAGACGCTTTGCTAACACAATCGGGGACTCTGAGAAGCACTACTAATACCAGTGTTCTGATCCTGAAATCTATCCTTCTTGATTAGCTCTCCGCAAAAGATATTCGCGAGGAGCAAGCAAGGGGGAAGTTCTCTTTACAGGTAGCGTAGGCAAATTCCTGTCACTCACATTTAAGATCTATTTGTCTTATCGACTTATCGAGGGCAATTCATGAAAACGGGAGCACAAACAGAGACCAGACAGGCGTCGGATACATTTTACTAAATCCGCCCCTGCACCGGAGGACAATCTAATCCGCCCAGACAGGGAAAAACAAGGTCGCGAATATTGCTTCTGGCTGGAAAACGATTGCCCTGCCGATATCAGCCATTAAACTTTGACATCGATACTTCAATTAAACAATTGCACGCGTGGCCTGTCAGATCCACAACGGAAGACTTTCAGTTTAAGGTAGTTCGTAAATCGGTCAGTTTTTTTTATTTTTTTTTTTCGGTTTGCATTGTCCTATTATTTCGGAAACAATACAACAAAAATAAATTCATTTTAGGTTCTTCATGTAGCGGTAGCTCCGTGAGATCAAAGACAAACACTAGACGCAGATCTAGGGAGCAGTTGGTTTGAGCCCACATTGCTTATATGCGAAACTTATCGTCAATGAAAAAGTTGTTTTTTTGAAAATAAGAGTAAGCAAACGAATGTACCCTTTTAGGCAAGATGAACGTTTCAAAGAGATTCCTTTCAGAGCAGCTATTTCCTTTCGTTACCTACTACTCACAATTGTGATCTATACAAAAAATCTATACAAATTCGGCACGAAGAATGCATGTAATATAAAAAAAAAAAAAAGGAATGTATTTTTTTTATCGATCTTAGTGAATATTACTGTGCTTACATCGAAATCATCAATAGCAGCAGCCAGCTCTCCAGGTCCGTCGTATCCAATCGATGTACTGAGCAGACCTCCTGTGCCATTCCCGGTTTCCCCGTTCAGGCCTGAGTGGCGTCCTTGAGCCACTGTGTTGATCGTATTAACCGCTTCACAAAACTGTAAAAATAGAAGGAAGAGAAAGATGGTTACGGACATTACAAGTACGGATTGAATATTTACACAAAGCGTGTGCAATTAAAGCGCTCATGTTTTTTTTTTCATTATCTACCTAACAGACGTGATCACTATTTTAATAGTAACGAATAAAAAGCGTTTAGGTTCCGCGTCCCCATCACATACGTTTTCAACGCGGATGTTGACCGCATACGTCTACAGCACGTCTTTTAATAAATCTACGATAACGTGCTAACCGTTTAACGACAAAAAATTGCTTGGCATATTGCACTATAAAAATAAATGTTCAACATACAGTAAAGCCAAATGTTATTAGGGTGTTTCAAGCGAATATGGCCGACTTCGACGCTTAAAACTACTTAGAATAGTATGATGACTTTGTTAAAAAGTTTGTAAAAAAAAAATATTTGGGATATTGTTTTTACACACTTGATCCAGTGCTTTTGCAGCTTCTGGACAACGATATATAGAACTACAATTCGCATTTCCATATGCGCATTTCCATATGAAATTTCGCTATCTATGGCTTTTTGAAGTAAATCGATGGCGGAATATGCTTGCTTACAAGTAGTTCTTTTCGGGTACGGAAAGCCAACCGGCCTCACTCAAGCCAACTCACGGGCTTCATTTTTTTTTACTTGGCTTGCACATTTTTAGTATTTAGATGCAAATTTTTTAGCGTGCTACATGTAAAATGCCCGTCTTTACCGAGAGGGCCCAAGCGTTGCTTTTGTAGGCAATACTGTAAAATTTGGGCGGTCCGATCAAGTCTAGGTACAGAAACTGTTCAAACAGGTGAGAACTCACTGTCTTTCAATTTCCACTTGGGTTGAAACTTTTGTTTTTTCAAAATAATTTCAATTTTGAGCGTATTCATATTATCTCATTACAAAATAATCATTGGGTATCAGCTATTTCTATGCAGTAGTTTGGAAACGTATTACACAATTGGCATTTAATTTTCAAACCATGATTGACCGACAAGCAGTGTTAGTCAGATATGTATAAGGTGTCTAATCTATAAGAAATAAATACTAGAAGTAACATCCTGTACCCCATAATACTACATAATAACAAACAATAGACGCAAAGGTTTAATGATGCATATTTCGGGCCAGTTAGTACTATATAAGCGTTACCTAATAGGCATTTTACAAACATATATGGCGAAACGCTAAGCAGAGTAATCCATTTGTGATAAGGCGAAACAGAGCAAACGATCATACTCAAAGAATCTGCGATGTAGTCATTATGTACATATTGCTGTTTTTCTACTTTACTTGTGGTCAAATTCGTTGTTCGATTTGTTGTTGTCTAGTTGACTTTACTAACGGTTATTAACGGCAACAACCATAACAGTCTAAACAATTAAAGGACAATCTCAGAATCAATCGATCTCAATTTCGCGTTCTGCCTACGCAGAGTAGTTTGCTTTTTAGTGAATGTACTAACCCTTTTAATGACATAGTCACGATTTTCCTTTGCGGCGGACAGTTCAGGATGTCTGACATAGACTTTTGACGCGGTCAGCAGCATGGTCGAGTTCTTTTTTAAAATTGCCCGGGCAGCCGCAAGGTCATCTCGCAGACGCGGGTCTTTTAGTTCAGCCTGACGCCGAGCCGCCTGTGAATGCAAAATTGTGTTACATTTCAGTATAACAGTCATGCTGATTATCGTAATAAAGAATAATGTAAAATAGTGAAGAGTATATAAGCTAAGCATACCACCACAAGGTCACGTAAAAACGGATCTAGCTTTTTCGGCTTATCAGAGTAGCATATGTACCCTACAAACGTGAACAGATGGGTATAGTATAAGAATGACGGTGCCAAAAGTGTGGCTAGTAGAACGGTTGCTTCGCAGACAAATGAAGTTCAGGTTCTTGTTTCTAAATCATTATCAGTGTGCTGCAGACGTTGAAAGCTGCTGTTACTGCTGATTACGACAATTACGTCGTCATGATGCCATGTCTTTCGAAAAGTATTTCCTACCTGCCACTTTCATTCTTCACCTACCTGTTGTATAAGCAGTGATGTATTGGAGCCAAGGTTGCGGAAGAACTCTACGAGCTCGGCCTGTGACGTCGCGGTTCTTACTCGTTCCAGATCGTCCTCCACCGCCCGAAGGCTCCGGAGCAGTCTGTGCACGTCGACCATGTCCGCCAGGATTAGCAGACGCGTAACTGCCGAAAGCAGGCCACGTGCCGCCCTCACCATAGCGGCCCGCTTCATAGAAGAGCACGGTTCTTCAGCAAAATGTCGCGCACTCTCGGACATCGCCGCCCCGGCATCTCGAACCTCAGCTACGGCGAGCAGCATCTCGTCCGCGATGTCGGAGTTCTCGACGGCAATCTCCTCGCCGCTGATGATAAAGTTCTGTGTGGCTCGTTCCACTGCAGCAACGAGAACGTGCGCTCGCTTCGACCGTCCGCCTACCTTCTTTGAAGGGCCTTTCGTGTTGACCAGGGTCGTCACTTGCATCACCAAAGGCTCAAGAGTTTTCTCAACCGATAGTGTTTTGATTTCAAGGTTCTTCGGATCCCAACGCAGCCGCATGCTGGCGCCGTTTAGCGGCGAGCCCCCGTTCGAGGGGGGCATATTTGGTAACCCATCCCCGAGTTCACTAAGACTCAACATTTTTCGACTGTTATTTGTATCGTTGATTCAGTGTTTGCCGTCGCCGGCCTCGTTGTCGCTGTCGTGGTCAACGACGGTCGTTTCCCACTCAGGTTTTGATCAAGCTACTGTCGTTTAGCCCTAGTGGGTTCTTGGCTATTTCGTGTCCCCCACCCGATAACAACCAAGGGGGAGCTCCAATTTCAGCAACAATAAAAAACAACGCGTTCTATTCTAACTACTTCTTTTGGTAACGTTAGCGAATGCTTAGCTGATGATGCATTCGCTTTAATCTCCGCACGTACAAGGACGAACGCGTCGAGGTAGTCTGTAATTATATGAGCTGATCTGAATTGGCGGAAACGCGTCACTCCCAGTATTGGTATGGCAGAAATTTAATCAGGATAACTAACATAAACGATGAGTGGCAAGCAACATGGAGCGATAGTAGTTTCGTAACTTCGATTATTCTTGATACCCCAAGATATGGGGAGTGCATTAAGGACAAGTAGAATTTCTGAAACTTTACCTAAAAGACACAGAAAAGAAGGTACCAATATTAGTATAAGCTACATATAGCTAAATAAATGCAATAGCTTCATTTATTGGATGAGGCTATTTGCTTTTGGTTCAAGAACACGGCCTTAGGAAACAACGATATCAACAGTCGTTCCTTCTGCTGTCACTTCGAATCTAATATATAGTATATTAGATACAAGGCCAATAAGCCAGATGCTACTTTCGAGTGTGGATATTGTGGTTAATATATTGTATATCAAGCATACCTTAATCTTTCGGTATTTCGTTTGAGACGTTCTGTAAAATTAAGCTTAGCATTTAGAAATAGCAAAGGTTCCTTACAATTGCATAGTGAACGGTTTTTTAATTAGGAATTTATGTATTGGCTGGGTCTCATAGCGGAAATCAAAATGACATTTTGCAAGGGGTAATCGTTTGTCCTACTTTCCGAGACTTGCAGAGGATCGTGTCATGTTTGGGAATAGCCGATTTGCTTCTATAGATAACTCGGAGGTGTGTTACAGGTAAATGCATGGGAGGCCACAATCATACATGTTACTTTGGACTGTATTTCAGCCGCGAAATCGCGAATCGCTATACGTTCACAACAATGTGACACACTGCAGCATAATCTAAATTTCTTTATATACACGAAGTAGTATAGAGAACGTATGCCACGTAGAACTGCGGCATATAAATGTATGATTGTGTTCATTTGTATGTTGAATAGTATGATAATATGGTATGCGAATTTTTCAAATTTGATCCTGTCGAAGCGTCACAATCTATCAGGTCCTGCAGGTTTACACATCCAGATCGATAGGGCCCTGAGCTTGCTAATTTGTCGATGCAGCTAATATGTTTCTATTCCGTATTTCGAAGCGCGCAGTCTGCTCTAACATATCGCGTTCCTATTTTGAGCTAATATTATGCCGAAAACGATCACCATCAGCTTTATAGGTCAATTGTCACAGTGGACACAGCGGAGAGGACAATCAAATGTCTCAAACGGACCACTCTGTTCCTGTGTCAGCCTAATATTAGGTCGGCGTCCTGATGTACCTGTTTGAATGAAAAGCTGTCCGCACGTTTGCTTCTAGGTGATCAACAATTTATACAGTAGCTGTAGTTGTTGCAGTGAAATTCGGCGATGTCAACTTCCGCCTCCTGAAGTTACTTTTACTTCATTTCAAGCCGAACGAGTACTGGGTCAGACTTTTCCAGGCTCGCCGGACTTCTGCTGCGAGAAAAGTTTGGCTGACTATTCAACTAACTGCTATCTAATTACGAAAGATGGGTCGCCCAACGTCGTAACGTGTGAAACGGAGTATTAGTGAAAATCAAATAGGCAAACCCACTAGTTACTGGAACGTCCTCCCCTTTCAGCAGACAGAAGAAGTTTCACTTGTGGGTTTGGCAAAGCTATCTCATTTATCTCCTATACGATAATACGGTTAGGTGCATCCAGCAGCAAACGTCAGGATGCTCTCCCATCTTCCATCCTACTTTCAGCTTCAGCCTATAGAACAAAGGATGAAGTCTACAGCTGTCGTTAATAAGTACAGCAGAACGATTTCTGCGTTAACTATCGTTTTCAGCGGCTGTAGCAATAAGAGAAACGGTCACGGTAGCGGCCGCATTGTTGTATTTAGTTGGATGGCTTGTTGGTAAGTGTCAAATAGTTGACACTTCGTTTCTTCGACATACCCCGTTTTGTGGCTCTCGTGGGAAGCTTGACGCGGACAGCAGAGATATGGAGCTGCTTTTCGCTTCATAAACGCATAATGTATCAGCAGCGACGTCAGTAGTTGCGCTGAAGCCATTATAATTGTCGTTGTGTACGCATTGGCTCAAGCATGCTGGTTTAGCGATAGCAAAATCAGTCTGTGCTACCTATAATTTGCTTTGTTTGTGCGCCTTGGAAACGTTTCGGTCGTATTCACCTTATACGACGTCAGCGTCGGTCGTACACGTTTCTCACAGCGTCTTACGTTCGCAAGTAAGTGGCTGACGTTTGACTCGCTAGCCAGTCGGTCGGGCAAACACAATACAATATTGGCATATTATTAGTATAAGGAGACACGAAGACGAAACAGCCGTAGGGGTTTGTGTACAATAAAAAAAGGCAGCAACAACATCAAAAGCAGGCCAATAACGCCACAAACAGTAATAAAAACGGGCGAAGAACACACTAAGCAGTAAATTCTAATGTCGGCAATATTGAGCTCAGCGTGCCGAAACGCTTACTTGATTACGCTTATGGAATGAAAACTATTGGATAACTATCGGCTGCTATGTTTAGTAGCTGGCCTTTAGTAATAACATTAACCCAATAGAAAAAAGGCGACATTCAGATAGACACCGACAAGCTCCGTCATACATAAAGCGGATTAGTTTCTTGTCTTTTCTCACTCTCCTTGTTTTCAGAGCACAGGATCGTGCAAACATCGGTGTATCTACCTTCAGCCTTCGACAGCTGAAGTAATCGTGAAAGTAACAGCACAAAGAGAGAATCTTAAGTAACGCTATAGTGAATTTGAATGTAGCAACGCTGATATGGCGTCGCCGATGGTTGTGTCGTCATTTTCATCATCGTCTAATAAACGAAATGTTGCCAGCGTTATCTGATCGAGACGCCTATCACCAGCAGTAACAGCAGCTCGAACGCTCACCAACGAATCGCCAGCGGCGACAGTTCAACTATCTTTAGACGCGTGCCGTTGCCAAGGTGCCTGCATTGTGGGTGTGTGTGTGTGTACCCATGGCTATTCGAAGGAGATTCGACAGTCCGTTGGCCCGTGCAACGCCATTGATTGGCAATGGGCAGCAGTCAGCGAAGGCGCCAACGCCCGTCGTAACGCATTCATGAAACGGCACTAAAGAAACTTGCAGGTGTTTATGTGCATGGCCGAAACTCCTTGAGTCTCAGTAAACAATGCAATGACTTTGGGATCACTGCAGCGCTGAATGGCGTAGCAGTGACAGATGGCGATGTGGACCACTGTCGTTTACAATGAGCAACTACAGAAACAACTGAGGCACCACGACACCGCGCGGTGAGGGGCAATGCTATGGTCAACGGTATCTAGCACTGTTGATGTTTCAAAGTTAGTACGATATGCCTATATACGTTGTATGTAGTCGTTAAATGGGGCATTATTTATACGTTAGCCAAACGCAAAGCTACGACATCATGTCCATGAGAAGTTTGCCAGACCGCCATGAAGACCTATCACATGTTACCAAGAAAGTTTTGAAACTCATGTTTTTAAGCTTGGGCCGTATGATGGATGATATTAGTCAGGGGGCGACACGCCGCGCAAAACACTCTATAAATACTAATTCTCAATTGACACATCTGATCATACGAGATGCAATAAGTTCATAAAGTAATAACTTTCAAGCAGTTTTTTAACCTTCGTTCATCTTGATAGGCATGTTCTAATCATAGTCTTGAATAAATTGAATATTTAAATCTTTACTTACTACGGTGCGCCTACTTCTCAGCACAGGCAAATATTATAATGGCGGAAACGAGGGTGGAAGAACCAAAATTCACCAACGAAAGAAGAGAATGGGGAGGTGGGCAATCACGAGTTGTGTCGCAATGAACTCGAGTGAACAAACTGGCCCAATTCCAGGGTTGCTATTTTTCTTTAAACAAACCCTTGACATTTACGCTTCAATCAACCAACGAGCCTTATAGAAACGTTATGCGAGCATCAGCCTTGTTACAGATAGAATGTCTCTGTGTAAAATGCTTCGAATTTCGGCCAGAGGCCGCTGAATGCGACCCAAATAGAAGGCTTATCGACCTAGACTCTCTGCAACGACTCTGTAAGAATTGCATTCACACTGGAAAAACGTACGTAGCGAGACACTGGATGTGGATTACATAGATTAGATATCTAAGAAAGTTGAATCTCGATGCATACGCGGTAGTAATTTTTGGTCTGATTTCGACAAGCGGTATCACTTCCAAAGTTCGACATAGCTGAAGCATTAAACTTAGCGTCTTTCAGTTAGCAGAGTGTTTAGTGACTTTGTAACAACCGTATGAGACGATACTGGGTTGTGACACGTACGACAACAAGGGCTGTGCTCAAGATAATGGAACTCGTTTTCGTTTTGAAAGGTTTTCTAGACTACACAGATTTCTCGAAAAATGATGGTCGCTGTTTTAAACATCTCCCTCAACCAGACGTTCTTCGAAAACGGATACCCAATATTAACAATCTAAACGCCAATAAAACAGTGTTCTACAATCTTCATAGGAAGCTGACTGCAGACGATACTGGCGGGGAGGATATTCCCACAGTGAGCAATTCAAGCTTTGTTCTTACTGCTTCACATTGGCTGCGAGCTATGTAAAGTGCGGCTAGCACATGTCTAATCCCGTCGTTCGCGAGAGCTCACGTCTCGCTTGGCGTCGTCACACAGCATCATACATTTCGTCACCATCGCCTGTCACTAACTCTACCAATGGTAGATATGTACGGCAAGCGAACGTGAAGGCCACAGCTGACATGATTCGTCGTTTGTTTCCGGTAGTTTGTTACGGACGTTGTGCGCTTCGCGATAACAACAGCTGCCCGTTATTGCGATCAAGCAAAACAACAGCAGCTTCTGGGGATGACTAATACGCCGGTATTTGGTTTCGGTCGCTACTGCGAAGCGATAGAGTAACCAACCAGCTGACAGCAGACAACTGAGCAATTGCTCGTTTGTCATCAGTAGGAGAAGTTCACTTAAAAACGGATTTTACTCCATGTTTTAGGGTAAAATCGATGTTTGCCTGATCCAAGAGCGGGCCTGAGGCGATAGTTCGTTAGCAGTCTTTTGCGTTGGTACTGCCCTAAAGTGATCTTCTGATAAGAACTGAAATAGTAGGGTCGGATTTTAGTTGAATCGGCCGTTGCGTTTAAACTTCTGCAGCACTCGGCTCTTTCAGTATGTTGTAATATATATATATATATATATATATATATATATATATATATGTATATTACAACTGAAAGAGACTAGAAACTGTTAGTGGTTCACCTGAAATGTTAATTGTAGCTTCAAACCTTCTTTTTTTTTAAATGATTGCAAAGAGTGGTGCCTGTAAATGTTCGGAAACAAATACTTCCTTCTTGGTAATAATAAATGAGGTATCCTCAGCTTGAATGCTAAGCTACAAACATGACTAATAGTGTGTGAACTACACAAGGCAGTAACGCTAACTAATGCTAAACATGGCGCTATCTTAGAAAACAATAGGACAAGCTCCCTATGAATCAGCGAAGATTGGCGGTCTATACAATGAAGCTTCGTGTACTCTTGTTCGCCCTCAGTAGAAGATTAAGAACTTCACTATTATTCACGATATTATTACTCTCGTACTCGCTAGGAGCATAAACAGTTACTTAGCAACGTTCAATGTTTCTTCAGGTTAACCTCTTTACGATGTTAGGTACCAATATAAATAAAATTAATCACCAGCTATTTTTCATCATCGTTCTTTTCATAGCTCGCTTGTGCTGCCATTTTTGCGGTGCGTGCATTTATTTAGCAATTTTAAAAACGATAGCAGCATGCACAGCATAATGGCTTTTTTACTTTACTTTTGCAGCCATTTAACTACTTCATAAAGTGCTTAGAATCCTACCTAAATCAGCAATCGAGTAGCGGTCATAGTAACTTTCTCGTTTTGTCTGGCATTGGCGTACCTAACGATTGGACGACAGCAAACGTATCTGGGAGGGGCATAAATCGTTTCCACCTGTGGCCACTCAGCTGCGGCCATGAAAAGAAAGCAGGGTCGACGTCACTATCCATACATAAAGTGTCGAGTCAGGATCCAGCAATTCAGACTGCGCACGGTGTCGCAAGAGAGAATCTCGTGATCAACTAAAAAAGCAATGCACAGCCTGTAAGAAAGGGCCCACTGATAACGAAAATCAGCGAATTATAGCAGAGCCATCAAATATTGCCACATTAATTGAGATCGACCGGGCCAAGCAGAGAGGCTTCTACTTCGTCCTATTTACCAGAACGTTTGACAGTTCTAACAGGAAGCCTATGTGACTGTTAGTACTCCGTACGTTCAAGAGAACACCTTATAAGTAAGCAAAATAAAATATAGGGGAATACACACAACAATAAATGGTGTGAAGTAAATTTCAGCAAGCAGTGCGCCCTCTAAGGGCTCAATAGAGCTTGCAGAAAACAAGCAAACCTTAGGTATCCTAGTCGTATCATTGGAATTCTCGAAGGTAGTCTACAGGGCTGTATAATCTATATGTTAAACTCTAATACGATTATTTCTTCTAAGCAGGTTGGCAAATGTTAAGAGGATTATCATCTATCCATTTATCCACGAAGGACAGTCGTAACAGACCTCTGGTCTAGTTTGCTCTTTTCTGTTTAGCTGAATTTGCAATGAGTAGATTGACCAGTTCCCCATCCACGCGATCGACCCACCTCTCTATTCGCTTGATTTTCTCGTAAGCTTCAGTCGGTTCGTCATTATCTATTCCGTTTTATTCCATTCCACTATAGAACTCCGGCACCTGCAACTAATGGGCTCTTTTCTCTATTACATTGAGCATAACATGTATCTAATCAGTGAATACAAGAGTTTTATATGCAGACCAGTGAGTTCAACATATATCTGTACCATACGTTTTTTTCACTTAGTTCACCGTGGGGGGATGCACGCGTGACATGTGAGAACACGCGTCGAAAATCGTACATATCGCTGCTAAACGGAGGACCATCAGAGTCGTACATATTATCCTGACTCGGGTATATAAAGCCGCACGCTTGCACTAAAGTGACACGAGGTAAGTAACCCCTGAGAGGCATCGCTAACTTTCGAATAATTACGACACAAATGGCGGAAATAAGCGCTACCGCCAATTTTCTCCGTTCCTTCAATAAACATCCATACCATGTTCCGCTACAAAATACTAACACAGCTATATCGTTGTAGTAATATGCTTGACTTTCTACCATCGATAAGATAACACAGCCGGCCTACAGGGAAGCTTTCCTTCTCGCATTGACTGTAACTAACTTTGCGAAAGCAGTTTCAGCCAAAACTGCAATCGACGTCCAAAAAACAGTTGGCCGAAGCAAGGAGTATGCTTTTTCAGGAGCTGGCGTTTTCGTCCTTTAGCTTGATGTTAGGCTGTGACTACTGCTGCTTCTGCTAAAATTGTAAAATCCGTATGCATTTTACAATAGCCGCATCAGGCATTTGGGTTCCGCAGTCTCTCAGCAGTTTACGAGGAACCTTGTAGGATGCTTGTACTAACGTAGAAATAACGTTGATAACGTGCCACTATGCCCATGCGTCCATAAATATATGCGCGCACTTTAGTCGTCAGAGCGAATCGTTCGCACAGCACTGGTGATGCACTATACGAAAAATGAACTTCTGCCAGCAGGCCCTTTGCACTAAGGTACTCACAGTCAGTCGGGCTGTCACATTGTAAAGCATGGCCGTACATCTTTTGAGCAGGACCAATGAACTCAGGACGAGGTAGGTCCACATTTGTCCTTTGACTGGGCAAACTACCGCCGAGCGAAGCAGCAGTAATAGTAGACTGTACTCACTTAGGCGTTTACAAACAGTTGGGGAGAAATTCGTCATCCTACCGGAACGCCGATCCGCATATCATAGCTATTACTACTACGGCGGAAACATGACCTAGCCTCCTCCTCGAACTTTCCTGTCTTCATTCAATGCTGACCCGTCGATGACAAAACAACACATAATAACAAAGTATCACTTTTCATATTCTATTCATGTATAAGTTTAACAAAAAAAGTTCGACACAGTTGTCGCCAAACAGACAAAGGCATTTGTCGAATGATTGCCACGAAGGTAGCCATAAATTATTACGATTATTGCTGTTTTCAAATACACTAGAGGACCCGCTCATGGGTGAGGCAAAGCGTTCTTTATCGCGGCTTTGAATGATAAATTATTCTTAGGAACTCGACATAGCAGACCATTTAGTTTAGCTTGATTGCGATAGTGATCTTAGTCCAAATGCACTATAGTGACGCGGCGGCGGATCCGACTGTTGTATGAATTAGAAAAAGGAAGTGACACTGCCTAAGACTGACGGCAAATGAATCTATCCCCGACGCTCTTCCAGAAGGAGTTGCTTAATTTAACCCATAACATAGATAATGAAGCTCTTTAAGTTGGCATTGTGCTGGACCTTAAAGAAGGAAGTGGTTCATAGGAAAGACAAACTGCATTGGAAAAATAGCTCAATCGTTTGTCATTGCTGGGTAGTCTGACCGTTCTGTATTCGAATCAAATTTACAATGGGGTCTGATTGTTCCGATTTTTGATTACGGAGGGCCACAACGGCTCCTCTGTAGACTGACTATGAATGTCCACTTTTCAATTCTAAGTCTTGCAGTTAGATCAAAATGCGCCTATCCGAAAAGAGAACATTCGCTTAAGCGAATCGTCAGACGAGGTCAAGAGACACAAGGCAAAACTCAATATCCTTAACAATGCGGTAAAGGCAAATCGTAATCTGTTTTCCGAGACGATGTAACTAGAAACGATCGCGGTGACTCATTCAGAAATATAAGTTACATATGTAAAATCCATGTGTGTGTGTGTGTGTGTGTGTTTGTAAACGTTTTTCCGAACTCGCTGAACGGGATCTGTTATTGACATCGCCCAGCTGGTGACGGCGGCCACATTTCCCGCCTATATTAATCAGAAGAATAACCAAGAAGTTATACACCTTCAAAACACTAACTGTACCCTAACTAATCTAATTAAAACTAACCAGACTATAATTGCTGCTATGTTACGCTATATCAGCAGCTATTGGTTAATTTGTGTCAAGTCAGGCTCATCAGGCATTTCCTTTTCGCTGGCGACTTTGTCCCATCTCGACCTGGAAGCAGTAAGAGGACGCATATAAGCTTCTCTGTTTAATCAAACACCGCCATTAACAATAACAAGAGCAAAGATAGAAACATGGGAATTATTAATCAGCTTCATTGTCACGCCACCACATCCCTTATTTTTGCCTGTCTCAGTCCCACTTTATCGATCTTTCTAACTGTGTTTATCCCCCCATGGTCGTTACGAGTCTCAACACATCTGTATGATGCCTTGCTCGCTCAGACGTTCATGCAGGGCATTCGCTATCCTAGACTCGACCCATCCCCAGTTAGCGCTAGCCGGGCTGTTCGTCCTGCTCGACCTGCTCTCTTTTGATGTGAGCCTGGATGCACATCTACATTTGCACAAATCTACTCTTGTATATATGGATAGCTATGTAGATATATAGGTACATTTGTTCAGTTTATCGATGTAAGTCCGCTTCGAAACAGAAGTAGCAGCATATGGATATGGAGAGCGAGTCATACGCTAGCGCTTCAATACCTACGAAAGTAAACTAACTAGCTGGCCTACACCGATTTCATTGATTTCAATCTTTACTGGCAAATAGATCCCACTGTATCGTGGTCTTCAATATTGTACCCAATTTTCCTCGTAAGAGCCACTGGCGCGAGGCTGAGTTGGTGGGGTCAATCAGCCTTCGCTAACCTCAGCCGATTTCTTTTCTATTCCTTAGCGTCGTCTTCCTTCCTCTTGAGCTACTCGGTTCCTCAGCTCGCAATGCAGCCGCTGCAGCGCCGTCTGCTTTACTCGATCAGCCATCAATTGCGCTGAGTCATCATGTCATTTCAACCCCGTCATGATCAGACCCCGCGCTCTTCGCAATGAACCCCCGTTCTATGTTCGCCGCCCTGGCCTCTCGTCTCTCCCCATCTCCTGACTATTTTCCTCAGGACAGTACTACTTAGTGTTCACCGGCGGCAGCAGCAGACGCTTTCTCCGAGTCGTTGCTCGTGTCGCTGCAACTCATGCTGCCGTCGGCTGGTCCGCTGCTGCTGCTGCAACCTTTTCCTTAGCTACAGGAAAGCCAACCACAACGAAAAGTCGCAACTCTCGTAGAAATGGTAACATCTCGTTCCGACCTCGCGTATTCGCAGCTGGAATAAAGCTGCCAGCCTATGGAGCTGCTGCTTCACGAAACCTGGTGCGATAGCGCCATTCCACTGAAGTACATATCGTCGAAGAGCACATTATCGTCGCATAGCCAGTGTCGCGAGCTCCGGCTCTTGTAATGAAACTTCGAGTGGAAGAGGGCGAGTCAGTGGCGCACAACGTCGGCCTCAGAAAACCTAAAATGAAACAGCAAGCAGGCCGCACTAGCCGGCTTTGTTGCTGGGCTTACTTACATCCATGGGACGCCTCGAAGCTGCTGCAGCAGCAGCAGCAGCAGATGTGCATCGCATGGAAGTACTAGCAGCAGACGAAGCCAAATAAAGCAGCTTGCCAACGTTGCAAGCTTCCAACGATTCGATGCCATCGATTCATCGTTCCAAATTGAACAGCATCAGTGGTGTCGCGTCGATTTTTTCCTATGTATTGAGTATTTGCCGCAGCGGGCAACAATGTTATTACCACGCACTGTAAGACCATCGTCTGATAAGGCTTTTAAGGTGCAAAGGTTGTTCATTCATAAGACAGACTCGGAGAATACGGTATATACGGTACATATCACGGTGTAGCCACACTATTATAGCTTATTCATAAATCGCCATAGGCAAGATCTCTTTCTTCTATACATTGACCAATACTTAGTGAGATCACATTGCATAACCTTGTTTTTTATGGCGTTGCTCTCCCATATAGGACTAGCAAAGTGGCAGGATTTAAAGCCTGTATCTTTGTCCGATAATCACCTAAATAATGACTTTTTTTGTGCTTTGGAACTTTACTCTCGGAACCCGCGACCATTTCTCATTAGAAACTGTCAAAAGTAGTTCTCTTCGTGGAAGTTCAGGTAAATCTGATTACGATTCGACTGTACGTGCATGCACGCTCCTGTATCAATTACAAAAGAATTACTTACCGAATCATATTGGAACCATTAGATATCTACCAGATAACTGCGTATTTATGCGATATTCGCCTTACAATAATGATAATATCGCAGATAGCAAAGGAGACAAACTACTGCAGCAGCGATTTCCCGCGTCATGCCTGCCTTTTTTGGTCCGCAGCGCGCAGGGAATTGATTGTAGTCGTTCCATTTTGTTAGCAGCACTTTTGCTGTTCTAGGTATGGTGCCAACAGTATAAGCTTTTGCAGCTGGAACACGATACTGGTTTCAATTGAGTTGTATGTATCTGTCACAAGCGTTGAACCTCGTCGCAAATAGACACCACCAGTGCCAGAAGCGGAAACAATTGATAAATATTGCACATGGAAAGCACACGAAGCGATGTATGCGGTACCATGTCAACGAAGAACGATCGAAGCCTTACCCCTAACGTTGGAGGCACTTTCAGCTAGGTACATACAGCTAATGAAGAATGCGAGCCTTTATGACTCAGGGCAACGACGCATATGTTAGCTGACACGGCCTTACATGCTGTCTAGCACAAGCATTACAGATAGCTAAGGAATATATGGTTTGCGAAAAATATGTAGTTTATCTACATTCAGCTGATAAAAAAGGCAAAACGGTTGCCTACTATTCGTAGTCCGCAGATCTGACAAGCGAATAGAACTTTAGTCGATTAACACCAGAAAGAAAAAGAGGAAGGGAGGAAAGGAGGAAGGGAGAAAGAGAGAGGGCACCCTTATAGAGCACGTAACATAATCGAGCGAGACATAAATCCAATCTTATTTGTGAATTACCTGTTCGAATTTTCACAGCGCTGAATGACCACTTATGACCTACGTTCTTCTAGGTAAAAAAACAAAGCTGTGGCGACGCACAAGTAAAATTTCGTAACAATTCCGAGTGCTCAGATAACACTGAGCAACTCGGTGTAACGAGCATTCTATGATTCCCCTCAAGTGGAGCATCAAGCGTGCACTTAAGCTTTATGTGAAAAAAAATCAATCGCACAGATTTTCTGCAAATGTTGCAGAATGATACCGGGAACCTGACAGCGGATAAAATTTAAGTAGATAGATGATTCAACCATTTCAAAAACAGGCAGGACTATATCGAGGGTGCCCTTGGTTTTCGAAGACCTGTGACTGCCATTACGAACAAGAGCTATAGAGCTCCTTACGATTTTCTTCAAGGGATGAGTTCACGCCGTCCGGCTTTTACGAAGAGATTTTAAGAAGATTTCACGAGCCTGTCCGATGCAAGAGACCAGAACTGCGGCACAACAAGTCCTGAGTCCTTTCTCACGGCAAGGCACAGATCTATACCTCTCTTTTGCGAAAAACTATGTTGCCCCAATCCCGTCTTCACTAGATCTAGAACAGCAAGCTGAAAATTAGCCTGACGATCGAATTTGAAAACGGTTTTATAAACTAGTTAACACAATGGCATAGATGTTTTGCATCTCACGAGCACTGCTCCGGAAGGGGCAACTTGAATTGGGACGATTAAATACCTATTGATCTGGAACAAGTTAGTTTTGTCAATTAGTTTCGAATAAAGGTTTATGTATTCCGCAGCAAATAGCGCCACCAAATGAACATCTTCGGTTAAAGACTTCAATGCTACTTCATAGCAATCGCTTAGTTTACAAGAGGACGTGCAAATGTACATGACAAAACTCAACGTTTCTATTGCAACATACGCGTGGGAAAGCGCGATTTAGGCTGTATTTCAGCACGGATTTAACGCTTTTAGGACCTACTCGATTTTTATCGTTTCTAGCAGCGAATTGGTAATTTCGCTAAGAGGTTATCCTTCTGAAGGGCATCCCATTTCGGTGTTGGATTTAATAATTCACTGCTAGCATGACGTCTATATATCGTACATGCACAGATTCTAAGTATCATCCCGGGTGTAGCCTGGAATATTTTGAGGATCCATAAACATTTGCGAAGGCCAAGAACGCCTGTGGCAACGTGCTTGTTTATTAAACTTCAGGCGTGAGGTGGTGTAGCATCAAAGGCGGGCGTACAGACACTTCGCCTCGTGATGAAGAACAGCTGTCTAGAACAATGCTTAACAGCAACATCGAAAATTAAATTCTACGCATTGACTCGAGACTCAAGAACATGTAAAGCGTTAGAGATTTCAACGCCTAGAAGATTCGAACACTTCACTGTTGTTGGTGTCGAGCAAAACACTTCAAAAGCCACATGGTGCAAACATGTCAAAAAGCATCCCACTGGAGCAATGCTTAATGGAAGTACCGAACATAAAACTCACAGCTCAAAAGAATTACCTTTGCATAACACATGCAGACTCAAGTTTAAAACAGATGCATGTGTTTGCTATACATTTCAAAGGCAGCACATATGGTTAGGGATGTGTCCGGCAAGCCTGCGAGTTAGAGGAAAACCATTATGGATGAAGTATCTCCATGTACCTAGGTCACATTCTTTATTTGCTTTGTCGTAGCTCTGGTTTACACAAAGCACTTGTACCAACTACCAGTAGCTGTACTCTGATTTTACATTGCATTTAAAGTGCGATCACTAGGAACTGGTCAATCTATGGGTACTAGGCAAAGATATTTCAAATAGTACATTCAAACAGAATCCAGAGTTCAAATCTCAATCCTGCCAATTTTTAATTAAAAGGTATATTCCACCCCGATAAATCATTTCAGCTCGTATTTTCCTATACGACACGTGGTATATAACATTTCGGTGTTAGCAACTAGACAATATCACCCAATTTATGCACTGAACATACAGCTTCACATTCTCTAGTGCACAAGTATGGCAAGAGAAGCAAGCAGCCTGATCTTCCACTCCGCCCGATTGCCTTCGTCAGTTTTTTCTTGCCACAAAGAAGGCGTTACTGTTAGATCGTACTCTGTTGCTATCCGGCACTCATAGACGCCTATAATGTGACACTGGAGGGAGACTCCGACGCAGCCCATAGGGTGGTGC